AAAGAAACATCTCCTCTGCATCTTGTCCCATGCCTGCAGCTTAGCCCGCAGGATAAGCACTCCTGCCTCACTGAGCCATTAGCTGAGTGGAAAATAAGAAAGTGGGAGTGTGCGGAGGGTGCTTTGAGGTGCACCTTTGTAGCTCGGCCCTGGGATGAGAATTTATCCTGGCAGAAATCCCTGTTGGGGCAGTGGATGCTCTACTTCGCCTGCCTTTCCCTGAGTCTCCGTGTGCCCGCAGGGTTTCCGTGTGGTCCTGGTTGAAGAGTGCTGGGGGAAGTCCCTGGTGCCACTGATGGGCGAGGTGAGGAAGCAGATGGGGGACAAGCCGGTGTACATCACTTTCGATATCGATGGAGTAGACCCTGCGTACGCTCCAGGCACCGGCACGCCGGAGATAGCCGGGCTCACGCCTGCGCAGGTAAGGGGGACACCACTTCGTTTCCCTGTGGGAAAGGGATGTTTTTGCTCCCTTTAAAGGTGGTCATGCTGCTAGTGCAGCAAAACAAAGGGTTAGGGAGGCCAGGGAGCATTTCGTGTGGTGATGAGGAAAGGAAATGTTGAACCGATCTGATTTGGTCTGTATCGATTGGGTTTCCGTGGCTGCACAAGTGGGAAGCAGAGTCCCAACCAGGTCTGCTAGGTCATGTGTGTTTCTTGATCCCAAGTCTGGTTTTGTTTTTTTTCCTTAGGCTTTGGAGATTATTCGTGGCTGCAAAGGACTGAACATCGTGGGATGTGACCTTGTAGAAGTTGCACCGATGTATGATGTCTCTGGTGAGTCGAGAGAAGACGTGTGCCTGGCAGAGGGGCTGACCGCCGTGGGTGGAAGTGATTGGGCATTCATGACTTGCTTTTTTTTCCCTTTTTTGTCTTTTCTCAGGTAACACAGCCCTCCTGGGGGCAAACCTGCTCTTCGAGATGCTGTGCGTTCTCCCCAGAGTGAAGACAACGTGAGGGCAGCTCCCACCTACCCCAGGGGCATCGCAGCTCTGACCTCAGCCAAAGCTTTCCCTGTCCTGTTCCCCTTGACCGGTTGCAGCAAACGCGGGCTTTGCAGTAAGGAATAAATGCCATTTACCACCAGCAAAGGTAGTTTAAAGCTGATAAACTGCAGGTAGCAGATGGATTTGGACAGCCCATTTAAGTGGTGGCTGTAGCTTTTCAGTTTGCTTGGGAAAGGAGAAGGTGAGGCTGATGGCGCTTTGCCTCTGCTTTCACAGCTGGGATTACTCTAAACGTCCTAAATTGGGGTAACCAGGGGTTTCATTGCCCCTGGCATTCAAACAGAGCAGACATGGAGGTGAGGTCAGTTCGTACATGGAAACACAGAGCCACCTCATCACACATTAAAATAGTTTATTTTGGTTGCGAATCTGTAATTGTCTTAAAACCAAATGACATCAGTGCCTGTTCACAAATATAAAGAAAAGAAAAACAAACAAAACCAAAACTAAAGACAAGTTTGCCAAATAAGTTAATTTCCCCTGCCCTCCCAGTATCAAAAGTGCAAAATATGGACCTAGTTTTCAGTCCTACTTCTCAGGCTGCGTTAGCGTACGAGTTCCTGGCAGGGAGCGGCAGAGCTGCCCACCACGCTGGGTCCAGGGAGGAGTTTTGGTACAACCTTTACACGGGGGGCCCGTTTCCCTTGGCTTCAGCTTGGGAGCGGCGTGTGACTGCTGAGATTGCACCGGAACAGCGCGCTAGGACTGAATTTCCTCAATCTTTGGATTACCGACCTGTAGGTCAAGTGCCGCTGGAGGCGGCGGGTTAGAAAATGACCGGGGGGCGATGGCTCGCGACTGCTGGGGACGGACGGATGGATCCTGGGGATAAGCAGCTTCCGACCACGCTCTTGTACAAGCAAGCAAGCAGCCCGTGCTCCACAACAGATGCTAACACTAATGAACGGAGGGGTTTAGAACAGTTTGGCGTTTGCTTCAGCCCATGAAAGAAGTTTTTCTGTCAAACAGTGACACGAGTCGAGTTAATCGGAGCTGGTTAAAAGCAGCAAAGGGCAGGGTTGCAGCTAAACAAGAGCTGTGCTCCCGTCCGGCCGCAGCCAGCAAGGGTGGGCTGCTGCAAGCAGTCCTCAAACAAAGCTCAGTCTAAAAGGGCAGCTTACCTGTGCTAAAAAGAAATTAAGAACAGGATTGCAGCAGGCGGGCAGCACATGAACTGTATTTTGAAGGCCATGAGGCCTTAGCTTCTTGGAGCAGAGCTGAATTCCCTGACTGTAGCACAGCTAGGCACTTTTTTGTAATGCATCAAGGGTTTTCTCCTGGTTTCTGCCTGGCTGAAGAGGCAGCAGAGACCTAGAGGTTTTTTTTTCTTTCGCAAGCATTTAAAAAGTTATGCAGAGCCTTCTGCTGGGCTGCAGCCTTATTCTAGCCACGTCCTGCACGGCAAGCTGCGGGAAAAGCACGGGAGTGCTATGGCGACTGCTCTGGCCAAAGGAAATTGAAGTCTAGCAGCATCAGGCCAGCGTTTTGCTCCCCCTCCCACTCTATTTCAGCCCTATGCGTGTGCCTGGAGCTTCTTGGCAGGGAGGAGACCTCGCCTTCCTTCCTTCCCTCTACTCTAGTGCCTCATTCATGCAGCAGCACGAGAATCCGCTGAGCTAAAATTAAGTAACCTCACATAGGGTCAGACAGTAGCATCGTAGCCTTTATTTGCAAGTACAATATACAGGGTGTTTGAGATAGCTGTGGTGGCTGAAGCACGCCAATCTGCTCCCAGGGCGGGCAGGA